AAAACTTAACTGGATATCATGGCATGTGCCTGTGGTCCCAGCTACTAGGGAGGCTGGAGTGAGAGGAACACTTGAGTCCAAGAGATCGAGGCTGCAGCGAGCCCTGATCATTCCACTGCTCTCCTGCTGGTGGGATTGTGTATCCTGGTTGTTGCAGACCTGCTGCCTACGTATCGGCTCTGCTGCACCTCCATTTCTCTGCCCTGTGTGTTTGGCATGTGGAGGGCTCTGCATGTCTGGACGTCTGTGAGGAGGAGGCTGGGCATCTATCCCTCTGCTCTTGGCCACCTCTGTTTGGGTACTGGTATCCCTATGGTGCATCATAAAGTCCTATCTGTTTGACCTGATGTGTCTTCTACCTGCCCCTTGCCAGCACCCCAGTCTGATCCTCCCTTCTCCTGCCTCTATACTCTCACACTCCTTTCTCCCATTTAGCAACCAGAGGACTGTTTCTGAAAGTCAAATCCTACCCCGTCCCTTCTCTGCTTGCCCATGGCCTCCTGCTGCCCACAGGGCAAGCTCCCAGCTCCTTGTCACTGGCCACTTAGGGCCCTTCACCATTGTCTCCCTGGGCTGTGTCTTTTTTCTTTTTCTTTTTTTTTTTTTTTTGAGACAGAGTCTTGCTCTGTTGCTCAGGCTGGAGTGCAGTGGCTTGATCTTGGCTCACTGCAACCTCCACCTCCTGGGTTCAAGTGATCCACCTCAGCTTCCCAAGTAGCTGGGATTACAGGCGTGCACCACCACCCCAGGTTAATTTTTGTATTTTTAGTAGAGACGGGGTTTCACCATGTTGGCCGGGCTGGTCTGGAACTCCTGACCTCAGGTGATCTGCCCGCCTCGGCCTCCCAAAGGGCTGGGATTACAGGCGTGAGCCACCGCGCCAGCCATGGGCTGCTGGCTTCTGTTGCTCCTTCCAACCTGTCTCCCACTCGACAGTCAGAAGGCTTCTTTCCGATCTCAAACCAAACCCTTTCCCACCTCTGCCCCAAACCTTTCAGCAAAACCCTAAACTCTTTATGTTTCTGTGACCCTCCCCTCGACTCCCCAGGCTTCTCTCGCTTTCTCACCCAAAGGACCCCCTCAGAGGCCTTGGAGCAACCTCCTGCAGCACTTTGTCCCCAACTCTATCATCCCTTCTCCATCACATCCCTGCCTGGCCCCCACAGCCCAATCTAGGGTCCTCGTGTTGTTCACTCCCCAACACACTGTCCCTTTCCTTGGTAACACTTTGCCTGGGTTGTCATTATATATTTATTGGCATGATTATGTGTTTCACATCTGTCTCCTCCCACTGGTCTGTGGGCTCTGCGGGGGCAGGGACTGGTTATATTTTGGGCACTGTTGCATCTTCACCACCCTGTAAAAGGCCTGCCATAAAGGGGACAATTCCTTATTGTGGCTTTTTAATTTTTTTTTTTCTTGAGACGGAGTCTCACTCTGTCGCCCAGGCTGGAGTGCAGTGGCTATATCTCAGCTGACTGCAAACTCCACTTCCCAGTTCAAGCACTCTGTCATCTCGCTGTGTCATCTTGCTCTGTCATCCAGACTGGAATGCAGTGGCACCATCGTAGTTTGCTGAAGCCTCAAACTCCTGGCTCATGCGATGCTCCTGCCTCAGCCTCCCCGAGTAGCCAAGACTATGTGTGCAAGCACACCTGGCTAATTTTAAAAAACTGTTTTAGGGGCCAGACGCAGCGGCTCTCATGCCTGTAATCCCAGCACTTTGGGAGGCTAAGGCGGGCGGATCACGAGGTCAGGAGATCAAGACCAGCCTGGCTAACACGGTGAAACCCCGTCTCCATTAAAAATACAAAAAATTAGCCAGGCATTGTGGCGGGTGCCTGTAATCTCAGCTACTCCAGAGACTGAGGCAGGAGAATGGCGGGAACCCGGGGGGCGGAGCTTGCAGTGAGCTGAGATTGCGCGGCTACACTCCAGCCTGGGTGACAGAGCCAGACTCCGTCTCTAAATAAATAAATAAATAAAATAACAACAACAACAACAAAACTGTTTTAGGCCGGGCACAGTGGCTGATGCCTGTAATCCCAGCATTTTGGGAGGCTGAGGTGGGTGGATCACGAGGTCAGGAGTTCAAGTGCAGCCTGGCCAAGATGGGGAAACCCCGTCTCTACTAAAAATACAAAAAATAGCTAGGCACGGTGGCGGACGCCTGTAATCTCAGCTACTCGGGAGACTGAGGCAGGGAACTACTTGAATCCGGGAGGTGGAGGTTGCAGTGAGCCAAGATCATGCCACTGCACTCCAGCCTGGGTGACAGGGCGAGACACAGGGTCTGGCTATGTTGCCAGGCTGGTCTTAAACTCCTAGCCTCAAGCATCCCACCTGGGCCTCCTAAACTATGGGATTATAGGCGTGACCCACTCTGTGACCCACTGTGCCCAGGCCCATCTCTTTTTTCTTTTTTTTTTGGTTGGGGGGATGGTCTCTTGCTGTCACCCAGGCTGGAGTGCAGTGGTGCAATCCCAGCTCACTGCAACCTCCACCTCCCAGGTTCAAGATACTCTCCTGCCTCAGCCTCCTGAGTAGCTGGGATTACAGGAACCCACCACAATGCCCGGCTAATTTTTGTATTTGTAGTAGAAACAGGGTTTCACCATGTTGGCCAGGCTGGTCTCGAACTCCTGACCTCAGGTGATTCTCCTGCCTCAGCCTCCCAAAGTGCTGGGATTACAGGTGTGACCCACCACGCCTGGCCTATTGTGGCATTTTTGAGGGGTGCAAATATGTGCAAAGGTCTCACATATTTGTTGGGGGGCCCCTGTCCACCCAAGGGCTCAGTGGACCCAGCTGGTTGATGGCCTACTTGAACCTGTGAATTCATTCACTCATGAACAATATCAAACATTTGCTGAGTACCTGCTATGTGCCTGCAATTTACTTTGAAATGCGTTTAAAAAAATGAGACGGGGGCCGGACGTGGTGGCTCATGCCCGTAATCCCAGCACTTTGGGAGGCCGAGGTGGGTAGATCATTTGAGGTCAGGAATTCGAGACTAGCCTTGCCAACTTTTAAAAACTCCATCTCTACTAAAAATACAAAAAAAAAAAAAAAATTAGTAAGGCATGGTGGTGCACGCCTGTAGTCCCAGCTACTTGGGAGACTGAGGCAGGACAATCTCTTTAACCTGGGAAGTGGAGGTTGCAGTGAGCCAGGATT